AGGGAAAGAATTAAAGTTTGCCACAGAAGAAGGGGTTCACATCGAGTAGCAGAATAGTCAATTGTGTCTGTTTGTTAGAGATGTGTGAGACAAGGAGCTGTTTTGGACCCATGAAAAATTCTGTACAGAAAGTGGAGCAGTTCCAGCAGAAGTTGTTAGCTAGCTTTGCCTGGCAGTGTAGAGAACACCCATGGAGGTCCATTCCTCACTTCATTGACATGTAGGAACCTGGTTGGACTGCAAAATGCTTCAAAAGTGCCCAGCCAAGTAGTCTTTTATGAAAAATATAGTTATATTTGTTTCTCTTTCCCATTTTGGAGTTGTTCCTTGGTCCAGTGAATCCATGCACTCTGTAAACTCGATTGTAGCACCTGTACTTACAGTGCAAGTTCTGCCTATCTCAAGGCCGCACAAGTAATCTCAGCACCCTTGTTTGTTGATATATTCCCTTTTAATAAGGCTCTTGGTGCTTCTTCTATTTGAGTCAGACTGGTGTAGGCCAGTAGTGTTACTCTAAACTCTGCTGTGATATCCCTGCCTTGTAACCAACCAAATACCCACCCACAAATTAAGTATGAGAAGGGGAAACCTTTTTTTCTTTCTCTCTCTAGCATCTTCCTCCAAGTCTTGGGGTGTGACCTGATCCACCCAGCTAGAAAGTCACTGTGGTCTGATGGTCAGTTATGAGCTGGTGAGTCACAGGGAGATGAAGGGAACATGTGTGTCAAAGCATGAGGTTAGCTGGTATGTGAAGTTTGAATAGGGTAAGTCCACACAATCGCATATGATTGATACAAGAAGCTCAGGCCAATCCTGCCTCTATTTGTCTAACCTAAGGACTAGAAGGTATTTCTGGCAGGCCAAATATCATTGTTTTGAAGCATTTCAGTATGGTATTTTTAAGAGGCCATACCACACTACAAAATGTTTAAGGGATAAAATAAGCAAAAGTAAGTAAGCCCTCCTTGTATATAATAGGTAGTAATTTATAATTATGCAGTGAAATTATTAAATGAAATACAAATTCAATAAGCCTCATGTATATCCAGGCTGATTGTAAAAATGTGTTTTACAATATGTAGTATGTTCCTCAGTCCTATGCTTAATGATAATTGCTGTATGGCTGCCTCCGATAGCATTAAACACTTCAAAACATATGCATATTTTGCATATAGGCAAACACTGACTGTTAAACTGGACAATGAAAGACCAATAACATGCCTTATATCTTACAAGTGTCAATAGAATTTTTGAACAGATTATTTCTACTAGCTCACATTTACACTCAAACAGGACCCTTAATAATTAATTATCCTTAGTGTATGTACTGGATTGACATTTGCTTGCAACTCCCATTGTCACACTGAGCTTAGCATTTTTGTTTGAATCACAATGAAATGTCTATGAAATACTGCTATAAGATACCGACTTTGCTATCAGTAGCTCCTGGAAAGTATCAAAAATATCTAAGATGGCAATATTTAATGCATTACAATAATTGTATACACTATATCTACATGACTAAGAAAAAAAAAAAAACCCTGCATATGAAACAGCAGATCTCATGGCTTCAGTCTATTCCTACTCTGAACAGTATATACACTTCTGCAGCCTGTGGAGGCAGAGGTTACTGTGTGATATACACATACATATCTGTAGTAAAACAGTATTACTGTATTATATACAGTTAAAGCTATACACAGTTCTACACAGCACATCACATTTTGGGCTCCAGCAGATTGAATTTTGGGTTTCTTCAATACATCATTCATGAATGAAGATTTCTCCTGTCTTAAGCAGCTTCTTCAGCGGAGCAATCAATGCCTGCATAAGTAAACTTCTCGTATAAGGTAGTATTCACATAGGTCTGGGAAGGAAATAAACAGAAAAAGTGTGATGCAGGGTGTGTTACCACAAGAATCCTAAACTATACTTGAAATTATTCATGGCCTAATTCTTTCCTAGGGATTCATTCTTACCTTCCTTTCTTCTAACATCCTATTCAGTGACACCAGTATCTGAGCAAATGATGGTCTTTCATATGGTTTCTCTCTCCAGCACTGTCTCATTAGGTCATACCTTTAAAAAAATCAAACACCAACATTTCACAGTTTAGATACATAGGTTAAAGCTACAAATTCATGTTTATTGAAAGATTATGCTCATTACATATTTCAAAGGAAAATGGATTTATACATAGATGGAGTTACATTTTCCACAGCTGGATGCTGTCTGAAAAGAATTTTCTTTTTCTCTGGAATAATTAAAAAGCTCTCTTTGAGCTAAAGCCCAGCCATGTTTTGTAAAGAACAGCATATCTGGCAGGAGCAGAGAGCCTGGGAAAGGGTTCATGGCAAGTGACAGTGCATGCTGGGTACAAAAGGACTTAAGTAATTATTTTCACTTGTGAACCCTTTTTAAAATGTCTGTGGTTTTTTTTTTAATGTATTTTTTATGTTTTCCTGAAAAAATGTTTGTTTTATTAGTTTCTTGTAGACATATATTTCCTATAGCAGATGTTGTGTTACTCTGTTTTGGTTTTTTTGCTGAGGCAGTTACTTACACTTCATCATCACAGTTGAGAGGCTTTTCCAGCCTGTACCCTTGAGGCAGTTTTTCATAGAGTTCTGCACATGTCATTCCACAATATGGTGTTCCACCTAAAGCAGAGTTTAACCATTGTCATGAACACAGGGAGTTTTTAATAAAAGAAAGTTTAATTTCATAGCACAAATGAAAAAGAATGACTGACTCAGTAGCAGGTAAATTAGTCTAACATTAGGGAATATTTTGCAGCTAAATTTTTGTTGTTAATGTTTCTATACTGCTTAATGCACAGTATTGAAGAGAAAAATAAAAGCGAGTATAAACTTTCATCATCTGTGGGGCTGACCTGAATTTCTCTACAACTCTGAGGGCCTGCATCTGATTGTATTTGAACTGTTTTTGTAATACCCTTGGTGGCAATAGGCAAGTTTTTCTTTCATTAGTATGGTATTAATAAGATCTGGTATGGACTCATGGAGCTATTACTGTCGAGCTGGTTTTGCCGCTTTTTGCAGATGTTTCATTGCTTAGACTCTTGATTTTCCACACTGGAGTGTGTTAGTTCTCATCCATATCTAACGCAAACCCATTTACTAAGGAAAGCTGCGAACAAATTAGAAAGCAGGAGTTCATCATTAGTCCAGCACACAATGTGCACCTCAGTCAGCGTGCATCTCTTGGCCAGCAGACCATGGAGCGCACTCAAAGGCAAATCATAAAGGCTATGTAACACAATCATTTTGAATGGTTTGAGGCTGCATCACATACATGATGAATAGAGGTGTGTGTGGAAATGAACTCTAAATTTTATTTGAAGATTAACGTTCAGAAATTTTCTTTGAGATACTTGGAGTATGAGATGTTTGCCCCTACCCCCATAGTCATTAAAATTTAAGTCTTGATTTAAAACTCAGGAAGGCTGAGGAAAAACCACCCATCAAACTCGAAACATATAGGATTAGGGCTATAAATTGTGTGATATGGTGGATTGTCTATTTAGACATGGCCTAGGTTTTATACTGCAATTAGAACATGGTCATTATGTTTTTTTCATTTAAAATGGTACCTGAATTGAAAATGTGACAATTGCATTTCCAAGCATACTGAAGCTAAATAAAATTCAGTAGAATGAAACAGAAAAAATTGAAATATGTTGCAAAGGAATAATTTTTTACAGACTGAGTGAATGAAGCTGTCTTGGCTCAGGTTGGTTTATTTGTGCAGTACAAAATTCAGATACTTACCTAAACTAACAATTTCCCATAATAGGACACCGTATGACCATCTGCAACAGAGGGATATTATGGAGTGCAACAAGAATGCAACAAGATATTTTAAAATGGTAGATAGTTTTGCTAGTATTCAGAGAACACAGAGAAGTGTGATTAATTCTTTTTTTTAATTGATTTTTGTTAAATGATAGGGTTCGTAGAATCAGAAAGGAGGAGTGAGATCTTTAGCAAAATTAATTCTCTGTGAGTCCATTGACCGCAGTCCTTTACTAGACTCTGAGCTCTCAGCAAATAGCGCTTTTACAGAATTGCTTTGCCAAATATGACTTCCAGTTTCCTGACTTAAATACCGAGTTCCTCTAATTCTCCCAGGGATTCATCAGGTTTCTGATTTCAGATGAGGAATATAGTTAAAATAGTGGCCCAAACACAATTAGCTTGTGAACACAGAACTTGTTCAGATACTGATGATGAAATAAAGTAATTTTTTTGTTGTGGGTTTTATTTTTGCTTCCATTGCTCACTCATGCTGACACAGCTACTGAGTTTTTTGAGTTAAGAGTGGATGTCAAACTTTCTTTGACATCAGAAAGTATTTCTTTATTTAAAAAAGACCACTTGAAAACATACTTACACATCACTATTTGTGGTATAAACACTGTAATTCAAAGATTCAATTGCCATCCATCTCACTGGAAGCCGTCCCTGAAAATTATTTAATGAAATTTTATTTGTCGGAGGTTGGAATAACAATATTGCAGTTTATACCCCAACAATTGTTCTGTGTGTTATCTTAATGAAAACTAAGGCAAGTAAGCTTAATCAAGTAAATAAATTTATTTAAGTTGTGCATTTACTGTTCAAAGGGACAGTTCACACTAAAGATAATAGAAAATTTGTTCAACCAGCATCAAACTGGGAATAATTCCTGAGTGATGACTTATGATACCTTTAACCAATCCTGTTCCCTTGACCACCCGGTGTTACTCCTGGTCTATGACTATGTGATGCTTATTACATATCTTCCTCTTTCAGATCTTCCAAAGCATTAGCTTTGGACAACTGTTTTTTCAGCTCACAGATCCTGACGTGCCTCTGCTTACCATCTTGCTAGCTTTGGCCTCGTTCAATAGAATTAGACCAGCTTGCCTCAGCTGGACAAATTCTGGTACGAAAATATTGTTTTCATAGCTGTACAGACCCACTCACATGCATATATCCTCTTCATACATCATATGTATATTATATGGTTTTTTATAATACACTTTTACTAAATCTCATAACTGGCTGGAAGATTGGTTATTTTACTGCCATCCATGTTCATATAAATAATTTTCAATTACATTGTATATTATATTACAAACATGGTATAGAATTAATTTACAAGTAATGTAAGTATATTAATAAACACAATATAAATATTTGTACATGTTAATATATAACATTTAAATAATCAGTTCTGTATTACCCATGCGTTTGCATTTTTGTTCATAGGAAAACACAAAGTAAGAAACAAGAAAATAAAAAATGAGGAAAACAGACTATATCAGTTTGTTTTGATCCTTACCATGGTCTTCTTAACATAAACTTCTTGACCTCTTGATAAGCCAAAGTCAGCTATTTTCGCAACATAATTTTCTCCAACCAAGATGTTTCTTGCTGCCAAATCTCGATGAATAAACTGAAATAAAAAAAAAAAAATGGAAATCACCACAGCATCTATGAGCTTTCCATGTATTATTTTAGTGCTATATTGAAAATTGCGAACATTCAGAATAAGAACAAAACCCAAAACAAATGGCTTGGTATGTCACTACCAAGAACATTTTAAACTTTATCTGAAAATGAAAGCTGTTCGTTACCATGTCGTTCGTAAGTTTTAATGCCTCTTCCTTGATTCCCTGTGACCGTAGCATTTGATACGGCTAAGTGAACACAACAAATAAAGTAGGTGCTATAAAAGCTAAAATTAAAACCTCATTTTGATTTCATTAAAATAGTCCCTGCAAAATCAGTCGCTGTGGTTTCAGTGCATAGAGAGTTGAATACTGACCTGTTTCTGGCTCAAGTAGTCCATCCCTCTAGCAACATCTGCTGCAAAATGCAGAAGTTGTTGGGAGGAAAGTGTTGATGCAGTACTGTTGGCAATAGCAAATGCTGGGTCTGTCTCTAGCACTCTGCTTTTCCGAAGGAAGTCCAGTAAATTTCCATGGGGGGCATATTCAATAGCAAGATAAAGATATCCTAATGAAACATCAGATAGTGAGCAGATCACAAAGTAAAAGATAGTCAATAATAGTATTTGCACACACTGCTTTGAGTGAAAAAGACATAAACATAAAAAAGACTGGAGGGGAAATATCAAACAGCATAATTCCTAGGTGCAGAGGAGAATTTAGAGCTATTGATGAACATCATTTCTGAAGGATTAATGTGGGCTTGTAGATCTAAAACCAAGTTTATTTAGCTTTTTCACAAATGTTATGGAAAGACCTGCTTATAAGCCAGTGTTTCTATGGGCTGTATGGGCTGTACTGTGGGCTTGGGGTTTTTTTTAAACTAATTTTTATAGTACATGTATTTAAGAGTTATCTTACCCCGATGTTCACATGCTCCCAAAAGATTTATGATGTTAGGATGATGACCAAGTTTACAAAGAACTTCAAGTTCTCCAGCAAAGTCTCTGTGATCATCTTTTGAGGCATATTCTGAAAATCAAATAAGAATGCATTTGTTCTCCTTTGAACGGAATTTATGACCATATTGTTGTTAATTATGAGGACTCTGGGCTGCGTGGGGCACTACTGCTTCAGCGCCAATAGAAAGACAAAAACTCTTAAGATGCATTAGTATTTACTGAATAAAGCAGGACTTTTCAATCAAAGGGAAAAAAGAGAGAACCTAATGTCTGTAGCAGCCATCTGCAGAGAAAGCAAGCATCTTAATATACCATGTCACTTCCTTTATTATTTGAGAATGTAAAACATCATAGCAGATCACAGAAAAACTAGCTGCCTAAAAATCTTTCCATGTGTGTGCTGTTGATTATTTCTGCCTGCATGCAGACCTTGGCTCTTTTTTAAATGATCATCATACTTAAGAGTGTTTCCCAATTTGCCTAGATAATGATCTAGTAAATTGCAAGGAAATATGTACATTCTTGCGGTATTCTATGTATTGTAGTTCTGTCTGGAACGTGGCAGTTGTGCCCAATGAGTACAAAGAAAATGAGTGATCCTCATAGCATGTATATATGTAGATGCATAGATACAGTTGTCTCTGAATGGCTAAGGTAAAGCAAGATGAGCAAATGCTGTGCCCCAAGGCTAACTCTGTGCTTCTCTCTCTGTTAAATCCATATTTTAATGGCTCCCACTTTGCAAGTGAGCTCACAGATGAAGTTCATACTGACCTATGAATCGAAAAATACATAATAATTAATGATATTAACAATTAGAGAGAAATATAAACCAACTTGACCATGCAGAAATACAGTCTTTGCCAGGGCACAAATCTTGGCCTAGTGACAGCTGGTACAATTTCGCTAGCAACTTTTTTATTTTAGCTTTAGGAGAGGACTACTAAGCATTTCTTGTGACAGAGAAACACTTGGAGCAAACAACCAAGAAAAGTCTTTAGTCTCACGTCTTTACTACCTTTCATCCTTTTAATCGCAGCGTCCATCCGTAAGCCATCTTTCTTAATGCGTGCTTTCAGGACTTGCCCGAAGTTACCTTCCCCAATCACATCTTGAAATTTTATGTCATTCCACTCAAGAACTGGATAAATAGTAGGATCTGGGCTGTTTTTGGCTTTCCTGCTCAAGGTGAGAGTACCTGAGTTAAACTGTACAGCTGGCTCTTCTCTCTGTAACAGAGTTAAGCAAGTGACATTAACTGTGATTTCTACTGTATTGAACAATGCTCTGATTACACTGTCAGAATACATGTGTGCTCACTCATGTACACACAGAGAGCGTGATCCATCTCTTGCTTATGCAAGAGTGAGTGCAGTAGACAATTACACCTACTTTAGACACTAACTGCATCAAGCACTTCTGCCCAGATCCACAAAATTAGTCAGGCTCCTAATTTATGCATAAGTACCTTTGTAGACCTAGGCCTCCTGAACAGTTTTATAATCATCTTGAACATGAAGGAGATAGGCAAAAATAATTTGGTAAAACTGATCTCAAAACCAGTTTTAAGTGTCAGGTTTGAGATTTATATCATATTAGGCTTGACTAGATCCTGTGCTGATCAGGCTCAGGAAGACTGAGGAAAGAAGAAGCAAGGAAACAAAAGAGAGAAGAAATTATCTCCTCCATACTAGAGGAGACATCTCTACTTCAGTTACACATTCCCATGAAATACTTCTGTGGGAAAAGTTTCAGGACAAGGAGCAGGAGCTATTCTGTGTAGCCTGGGGACTGATCATCTTTTTGGATGAGCCCCTGACCCCATTTATGAAACAATCTATGCAGATCCATATGGAAGAGCTCCTTGGCCCAGCTTCATTCTGCTTCACAGGTTCTCCTCTGAAGTGAGAGAACAGTACTGGAAAGCAGAGTGATAAAGAGACTACAGCAGAATACAAATATATACATGTATATATAGAGAGAGATATCTCTACGTGATGTTACAACCTTCAGCAATTTCCTCACAGCCAGAACTATGATGTTGCCATTGAATGACCCCTAGTGTGCTGTTCCCAAGTTGAAAAGCCATGACAGAGCAGTCGCTGATGCTCAAAAGCAATGATAAAAAACATTGTAGTTTTCGAAATCAGGCACAACTTCATAGAGTGAGAACAGGTTCCTCCATTCTGTCTGGCTCAGTACTTGTTATACACAGGTGCAACAAGGCAGAAAAGGGAGAAGGACAAATGGTGTGCAACTTTTTTCAAGTCAGGTTTTGTACCTCATAGCCTACAACTGTGATTGCTTTAGCTCTGGGCTCACTAGCAGAGAAGCTTTACAACACCAGTACTAATTGCACACATGAAGAGAAGGCCAAGAAAAAGGAACTGGAAAAAACAGGAGAAGGTGGGGCCAAAGTTAATAACCACACTGACTCAGGAAAGCTGGAAACCCACCACCACATTTTGGAAAGCCTGAGCCATACGGCGCTGGAAGTTGGCTCGCTTTAACTGCAGCATGATGAGAAAGGCCAGGAGAATTGTTACACAGGTCATCCCTGCAGATCCAAGGATGGCAATAAGCAGCATTTTGCCTCCTTTTGATTCATATGGAGCTGTTGAGGAAGCACATAAAGAGTTCGTCGTTATTTCCAGCTACTTCTGAAAAAGCCATGAACAATGTATAGCTAAATAATCCTGTCTTGTAATCTGTATGAAGACATCCCTTTGTTTTCTAGAAATGTCACAGACATTGGATGCTCTGACTTTCAAATGTATGAAACCTGCAGGTCCTGCTGAATTCAGGCAGAGCAGAGCTGAGGTCACATTCAGTGATCTAATAGTCCTATTATATGCAGCTCCTTTAATTTATGAGGTGTTGGGCACTTTCTAGTGGTTACAAACAGATGTTGTATGTTGTCACTTCACCAATGCCATGCAATGAACTGAGATCAAATCTTGGTGATGCTGTGTTTTGTGTCAAAATTAAGAGCAAAAGAAAACTAATATTAAAAAAATAATATTATGACTTTGCCTTAGGTAACTAGTTTATGCAATCAGCCCTGGTTTGTGCAAGTCCAGCATGCTGCCATAACCAACCTTTAGTTTCTGGAAGAGTCTTCAGTTCAAACGACGTGTTTGGGTTGCTTAAGCCAATGTTGTTCTGAGCATTAATCTGAACCTGGTACACAGTGTTTGGCTCAAGGCCCTTGAGATGGTATTGAGTAATGCTGGTGTTCTTTATGATAATATCGATGTGGTTGTAGTCAGCCTTTCCATAAATTTTGTAGCTGATGATGATGGAGGAGATGGAATGACCCTCAGCAGTTGTCCAGGAGATGACTGAGGATGTGTCTGTGGTGTTAGAAAACCTGATGTTGTATGGTGCAGGAGGGATTCCTGAGAACAAACACAAACACACACAAAGCATTAGAGTGTACATCCACCTCTTTTTCCTTCCTGCAGTGAGCCAAACACTTTTTTCAGTGCTTTTGCTGTGCTAAACAGAAGCAGAATTTTGTTGATGAGCTATGGTAACTAAATGCAATAGTTTTATGAACTTGATGTGCTGTGACCCATATTGCAGTACTCCATACTTCCAGCAGAGGTTGGAGTAGCATTGAGTATACTCCTGTACTTGGATGAAGATATGAATGCTCTGAGCTGTATGCAAGGACAACATGATTGCTTTCAAATTAATGCAGAAAGGGTTAATTTCCTTCTATACTGGATCATCATTCCCATGTGATTCCCAGGTCCCATACTTTCAGTGCTTCAGGGAGCAATTTCCTGTCAGGATACAGGCTGTTAGAAAGAAGGGAAATTGCTATGAAGCTGGTGAAGGGTCTGGAGCACAAGTCTTATGAGGAGCGGCTGAGGGAACTGGGATTGTTTATCCTGGAGAAAAGGAGTCTCAGGGGAGACCTTATCGCTCTCTACAGCTACCTGAAAGGAGGTTGTAGTGAGGTGGGGGTCGATCTCTTCTGCCAAGTAACAAGTGATAGGAAGGGGTTGAGTCCCCATCCCTGGAAGTATTTAAAAGGTGAGCAGATATGGTGCTTAGGGACATGGTTTAGTGGTGGACTTGGCAGCGCTAGGTTAACAGCTGGACTTGACGATCCTAAAGGTCTTTTCCAACCTAAAGGATTCTATAATAACATTTCCACAAGTTTCCTCAGAAAACCACCAGCAGGGGTGAGTGCTGGACTTGTGGACACACCCATGACTACTAAGCTAATCACCTTCTCCTGGAAAATAGTACCCTATGTGTTTCTTAGTGCAGTTTGGCGTCAGTGCTCAGGAAACTGCAGTGTCCCATGACAACCATTGACAGTTCTGTTAATGCATCTAGGATCTCAGTGAGGGCCTCCCCACATGACCTGTAAGGAGGAAGAAGCCCACCTTCCCAGTGTGTGGTGTGAGCAGTGGCACCCATCAGCCATTCAGATGGATGTCTCTTCAGATGGTGCTTCATTCAGATAGGACATTTGTTGTGGCATTATGAAAGGACAGTACTCACACTCAGGGAGTTCAAGGGTGGTCATTGGTCTTCATTGTAGCACACTTAACTACTCTGCTCACAGGGGTTTTACCTTGCATTGTGTCTTCTCTTATTTCACTGCTGACTATTTCTATATTGACATAGGTGAATTGCAGGTTCTGAGCGTTGTTTTGGAGTAACAAAAGAGCTTGGGGTAGGGAACTCTGTGGGTTCATCATTATGAAGAGAAAAAAAATGCTGTGTGTGTCAGAAACATGAATCACACTGAAATGAAGATGTGGATTCCCAAACTTTTAATTTGTTTTTCCCTTTTTTTTTCCAAACTTATTGTTAGTGCCTGATAATTTCCAGCATAAGAATTTCTTTGGACACTGAGCTATCTTCATATTAATAGTAATAACAACGACAAGTGATCATCAGGAACTGAGTGTTGCCAGAACAAAGGATTACATTTAATGTAGTCATTAAGTGACAATCAGTCTGATCACTGGGGGAAAGAGGAAGAATTAAACAGAAGGATGTGAATCAGCTACTTACTGTCACTGAAAGTCCATGCATACAAATAGTTGCTCCATTCTCCTTGGGACCTGGTGTTCACTCGTACCCTGCACATGTATTGCTGTCTAGGCTCAAGATCTTTAATGATCAGGGTGGACATATTTCCTGGCACTTGAGTAATAATTTCTTCCTTTCCACTTCAACACGAATGTCATCCTCTGTCCTCAGTGTTAAAGGATGCCATGACAAATTCAGTGATGTCATACTTTTTGGAAAGAGAGTGAGACCTTCTGGTGGAGGAAGACCTTGGAAAGCCACAGTGAGACAGGGAACAACATTTCATGTCTGGTATGCAAGCTAAAATAGGGGTACCAGTTATTTCCAACCACTTGCCTTAGCTTGGAGTGGCAAAGGGTAGTTCTCCCCGCCACCCCACCCAATTTGGCAGAAATTACATCTAAGAGGTGTTGATAGTCCCAAAGTATCTTATCAACAGTTGTTGTGTCAACAAAAAGGCCTCTTCACTGAGCTGGTGTTGCAGATGCACTTTTTAGACGTGAAAAGCCAGTTCTTTTGCTCTCTTGTTAGATAGTTCCTGGTGCAATCCTCATTTATTTTGTATGTTTGTATTCAGTTTGAGCTGTATCCTCAGTGGACTAAAAGCTTTTCTGCTTGTTCAGACAATTTTTAAAGTAAACTTATCTAATACTAAGAGGAAGGATGGATCTGGTATTAGGAGGAAGGGCTGGCATGCAAAAGAAGTGATTTCTATCTCCAACTCTGCTGCACAGCCAGCCAAAATATGTAAATTTTCCTTTCCTGGATCCCCCATCTCTAAATCAGGAAGAATAATAGCTCTGCCTTTTTCTGGTTTTCTTCACCTCTGATTTTTTTTTCTTCTTTTTTTTTCTTTGCCTGAGATTATTTTGAAAGACTCTACATTGTTTTCATGTCCAGCCTTCTTTGCTCAAATGAAAGTGCTCTGGCAGAGATCAGGGAACAGACCACAGAGAAAACCAGCTGAAACAGCCCTTTTGTGAAAAGCCAAGATGATGACTTACCAAGCGCAGCTGTTGTGAAGCTAGCCTGTGGTCCAGGATGGCCTTCCCCACCTTCTCCTTGCCGACTCAGCTGAACACAGAACTGATATTCTGTTTTTGGTTCCAGGTTGTCCAGTCTTTTGGTTTTGCCTTTTACTGACAATGAAAGGAGAAAGTAAAGCCATAGCCAATGCTGAAAAATGTTAAAGAAGAAAATGTTTGGAAAATATTCCTGAGCCACGAACCATGGAAGGTAAGATACCCAGGCTCTTCTTTTGTTCCTGACTCACTAAGATAACTATTTAGGCCAGGTTGGATGGGGCTTTGTGTAACCTGGTCTAGTGGAAGGTGTCGCTGACTATGGCAGTGGGGGTTGGAACTAGACAATCTTTAAGGTCTCTTCACACCCAAACCATCCTATGATTCTATTATGATTTAGAAGTATAAAATACTTATTTCTAAGTTGAGCTCCAACCCAGCCCAAAAGATGTTTCCATCTGCCCTTCCTTCAGGACAGAACAAGACTGGTTGCTTAGGCAGCATGCATTGTGTATTAGGTTATCTTGAATTAGTAACAACAGTTATTTGTTACTTGTTAAAGTTCCTGTAATGTTTCCTATAATATTTTAGGCCTTGCATAAAATGTTAAAACAGGGCTGGAAGAAGTCGTCTAACTCACAAGCAGCCTTCATTTTGCCCATACTATTCCTGGTAAATATTTAAGATATTTGTCTCACCAGAGGGCACAATAGACATGAAAGAAGATTGTAGATGCTCTAGGATGTCTCCATACTGCTCACTACTTTTGAAAACCTGCTATTTACATTGGAGTTTTCAACAGCTGGTCCCAACATTGAGTACTGTTTATCTTAAGGAAGGAGGGGAACTCTTTGGTTACCGAAAACTGAGTATACACTTTTGACTACTGTTGGTGTACCGTATCCACACCAACATTATACATCATGATATACAAAGAGTCGTGCATCCAGTCATAAAAGATTTAACTTTTATGTATTGCGGAGTCTTTTGAGTCTAGTTAAGAGCAGACACCACATTATGTTTCAACATGCAGCTGAAGTTGTCTCTGAAGGAATTAAAGAATGTCCTCTTACCTTCCACAGACATCCAGGACTGATAACGTTTTGCTGGCTTGTACAGGAGTTTTGTTGACACAACAGGTCCATCTCCAAGATGTAACTCAGCATTGATATCAATTATGAGAAAATTATGTCCACTGTCTCTCAGCCTTGGGGCATACTGTGGCACAGGAGGAACTGAGCAAGAATACAAGTATTAAACCAGCTTTTTAATTCCCTGTATCAGTAAAACTGTGGTATCTTCCTAGATCTACAGGAAAATGGGAGATGTTCTTCAAAACGCTTACAAAGTGGAGAGGGGTTTACACCCTAAAGCTAACAGTTTAGGTCTTTCAAAAAAAATTGGGTTTTCTTCTAATCCTTACCATCACACTTATTTTTTCAATACATATCATTAGTATGTTGCTTATAAAGGGTTTCTGTCCATATTCTGACTGTAGATATTTATTCAGACATTTTTCTGCAGTGCAGAGAACAGAAAGCTCTGCCATTTTAGAGTATAAAGCTGCCCTTAAAAGCAGAGAGGCAAAGACGTTTGAAGAGATTTGTGCCTTTACCTTTGACTGTAACTTGAAATGCACGGGGCTGGATACGATTGATTGTGAACATGGCTTCAGAGCGATTACTGGTAACAATTAGGGCAGGCTGAAATGACAAAAGATGTACAGGGCCTGAAAAATGTGGGCATTTAGGAATATTCCCATGACACTTTCTCACAGTTTAAGAACTCTAGATCTAGAGTTTAGTGATATCAATAGAAAGGGTCTATAATGGTCAATTCCATTGTTTCATATGTTCTCCAGTTCATGAGGTCATGAGGTATCTCAAAGTATCAAAATTTCACATTATGCTTGAAAAACATAGTGTGCATTAGCTACAGATAAAGTCAATACAAACATCAGAAATAATAGGAAACAATTAATGAGGAGCCTACCCTTAGGACAGTTCCATCTTGCTTCAAAAGTTTAAATTCTTCAGATTTAGGAAGTGGCATCCCAGTTGCTATACAAAAAGGCTTGAACTCAATGCCAGAATTGAGTTCTACAGGATCTAGTAAGTTTTCTATCTGAGGTGAAAGATCTTCTGAACCTACAGAAGATACATAGTGTTTTAATGAAAGCCTTCAAACAGAACTTAAAAAAGGCAGCACCAAAATAGGTTTAGGTGTACCATGAACATAGGCAGCATAGGTGTCTGGTTCTCCCTTCACCCATGTGGACATACAAAAGGATCATGCTTACCAAAGTCAGCACCGTTACATTGGTATATATATCATGTGAGAAGAAACAAGCCCTGTGTCCACTCTTCTTTCTTTTCCCCTCCCCTCTCTTTCTCGCTGACATTCTAAGCGCAGACAGGCTAGCTATGGCAAAATCATGCACACATTTTTTACTGAATGTACAGTATCTATTTGCTCTCCATTTTGTCTGTTTATAAGAGCAGTCAGATCACAATGGTATAGTTTTGCTCTTTGGATCATGGTCTTATTTCTCTGCTTGTTTTTGCACTGGAAAGCTTTTACAAGTTAACAGTGGATTTGTCACTTTATTTATCAAGCAGAAATAATAGATGCTGAGTGCATCTTATAAAAAATACTGTGTGCAAACCTTGCCTGAATCCAAAGAGAGTCTGAACGAGGTATGTTCATCTTTGCAAACCTAACTCTGTGTCAGAAAGACAGAGCTGTTTTAAACTCTAGGGTTGTCTTGGTGTCCCAGTCATCCATTTCAGATCATGAGGCACATGGTATAGGAGTGTATGCAGTGAATAAGAGGTAGGTAACGGTAAAGTACCATGAGCCTATCCAAAAGCTGATCATGCAGGTAGGATGAGCACTTTCTGTCAGTAATTAAGTACTGGTCAATTACTTAATTAAGTAATTAAGGTCAGTGTCAAACCCTATGGAGTAAGATTTGCAAATCTACCTCTAATGAAAGCAAAATCAGATGAAATGGTAGCATATCAGCCTGCTAAATGCAGCATTGGGGGAGAGGATTAAAAACACTGCATTGCAATAAAGATGTACAGAATTGTCTGGGCCCCTGGAATGTAATTGGCAGAGCAAGGATACCAGCCTGGGGTGGAAATGCTCTACCAGTGTGAAGATCTGTCTCAGTTACACTGGGTGGGAAAAGCCATTTACTACCGTGTTACCTTGCTTTACCTTCTTTTTCACATTGAAGACCATGCCATCCCAGGGAGCAGATGCAGCCCTTAAATCTGTCACATGTCCCTCGATTGTGACAATTACATTTGAGTTTGCAATCCGACCCATAAAAACCAGGTTTGCATTCTGCAAGTACATTTGTTTCCAGTTAGTGTAAAGGTACTAGAAAATGTCTTCCATTAGTTTTCAATCTCATGCATCAATTCTCCAGTAGGGTTTAGTTCCCTCAGTTGGATTGAGTTTGAAACTATATGTATTAGCACTAAATCATGCACAGAGCATCCTGAGACCACACTAACGTCAAAAAAGTAGAGCACGTTTGTATCTATGCCTGTGACTTGTAGACTAGATGCCAATGTGGAAGCTTCTTCAGTCTCCACTGTTGTTTCAGTTGCACCGTGGTAGTGTCCAAAGGCTTCATCAGAGTTATGTCACCATTGAACAAGATGGCACATAAAGGAAGATGTCCCAAAGAGATTGCAGTCTAATTGAAGTGAACAAGGCTGATTATGCTCAGTATGGCTCAGCAACGGATATATGTTTGACACCAAATTGCTCAGTTTGGCTTGTAGAAATACAGCAGGACTGTAGAGGATTTTAAATGCCTCAGTAGAACATCAATTCATTTTGTAGAATAATTTGAATAGTTTTTAATTTTACTATGTCCTTCTGAGAATCTGACATGGTCCTCTGAGATGGGTAAATATTATTATCCCTCTTTTACAGAATGTAAACAATCCTATCTTTTACGCTCCTCTGTTAGTTTCCTTCTATGTTTCCCATGAGCAGCACACTAAGGACTCTTCACCATTCCTCATATTTTTTACTATACCTTTATCACATTCCAGTCCCATCCATCCTGTGGCACAAGAACAACCATATGGATCTGGTAGACAGAACATATAGTTTCTGCAGCCATATTTTTCTTTACAGCTCTCTTCACATGTTTTGCCAAATGTATTGGCTCCACAAGCTATTGAAGAGAGAGAGGGAAAGAATAGCCCAACAGCATTAAGTCCACAAAAGAGTTAATGCTTCTAATGACACAGCTTTAGACAACAGAAAACATGAATTAAAATAAAAAATAGTATTTTTACCGTTCAGATACCAGATATATTAACATCCATAACTACTTAAGCCACGGCTGCACTAATGGTTAAGTTCAGGCTGCAGAAGCAAGCATAACTTTCTCCCATGTGAGGATACATCAACAAAGCACTCATTGCTTTGGATATGTAGTGGCAGAGCTTCAGTAATAAAACCTCTTTATAAGCCTTTTTAATATAAAATGGACAAACAGTGCCATGAAAACCAAATATTCTTCTTAAAGGTCAGTGCATATGAAACTGCCAAGCTCAAGGTTTTGCGTTTCTGATATGATCAGTGCTACACTAGAGTAGTTCAAATGTCAGCTATTCCAATAGCTTTGCTCTAGTATTTGCAGCGCTGCAATTCAGTCAAAATATTAGGATACCTATTTAGGATTGGACCCAAAAGTTGCTTGGAGAGATCAGAACAATGTAATATCTGCTGTAATTATTCCAGGATCCAAACTAGTCACAGACACAAATACGCACAAACAGGCATATACTGTTGATATGTCCCTACAGAGACAAATCATCCTGTGAGCACGTTAGGAGCTTGTTCAGAAGTAGCCAGGGAATCTCTAACACAGGGCTTCATTTCCCAGTGCCAGTGTATCCTCAAGATCTAGTCTATCATGCATTTAACAGTCAGTCAGTAGCTTCAAGCATACTGATTTCACGGGAATCATAGAACAGCCCAGGTTGAAAGATCATCTGGTCCAGCCTCTCGTAGAAAAGGGAGTCTAGAAGAGATTATCTAGCACACTGTCCAAGTGCATATGGATCAAGAAGAGCTGGAAACATTCATCTTCCCTGGCAATACAATCTCTACTAGGAGAAGAGAGGGAGAAGGCAAATCACAACTACAAGACCAGCCTTACTAATTCAGGGTTCATTTCACCCAACACTGTCCTGTCTCCAGCACCAACTGTAAACACTGTAGCTATAAAGAGTAAAACAAGGCTACTCCATTTGATGCTTCCCTCAATAATCTGCCAACTTCTGCTACTGAGAACAAATTAATAAGCAATCTGTGAAAATAATATTTGCTTACCTTTTTCACATGTTTTTCCCATAAAACCTGGAGGACAGATACATTCCCCAGTATCTTCATGACAAATGCCATTGTTTGTGCAGGAAGGGCAGTGGGAGCTACAGGAAGGGCCCCATTTCTGAGCTTCACACCCTTTTATGCAAAAATATAATGACATATTTGTTGTCTTTTTCAGTAACCAATCAAGTAGTAAAATTCTTTTTAATTAAGACAAACAGTACAATACATAAAAATATGATCCATATGGACCCCCTAAAACCCCAGCCAAGTGACCTAATGTAAGGAATCACATTTTTCATTGTGGAAGTGCCCGTATTTCTGGAGCAGAACTGCTGCATAGTACACAGTAATACTATGTAACATCTTCAAGGAAGGAACTGAAAAAGTCTTCCATTTTTGAAACTAGAGATAGATTTTTTTAGTTTGGAAGAGTAACTATGGAAGTTGACAAAGCTACTATATTTAAGATTTCTACTCTCGTAGCAGGGATCTGAGACCTACAAAAGGTCCAGGCTTCACCTGGCACTGCCTGTACTGGTAGTAAGCCAGCAGGACCAAGCTTAGCATCACTGGTATTGTACCAGCATTTGGCAAGTCATGATTTTTTTTCTGTAACAATATTTTTCTTGAAAGTTTATTAGACTGGGTTCACACCTGTTGTATCTTTACTGTCTTCACTGGGTCTTTATAAGAAGGATCAATCAACTGGTGACCTGTTTCAGGAATAAATGGACTAAGAGCAATCAGTTGTTTTAATGCCTGTCATGATTTTCTTTCCCACTTCATAACCTAAAAAGATACTACTACCATTAATCCTGCCAGTGAGAGTTTTGGTACTGATTTCATAGAAGCAGAGCTCAAGCTCTAAACAAGTATATATGACTTCATAATGCAAATGCTTAATCTGTCCCTACAAGATGCAAAATTCTCTGAGCTGCTTTTGAAATCAATGGGAGCTGAGGACTCAATGATTTGCAGTATTTGATTTGTAACAATGTTTCTCACATCACAGAAACTAACCTTCATGACTTCCTCTAGTGTAAAGCTAGGACTGAGAAGATAATAAACTGGAAAGTCCTGAGGCAGGCTCACTAAAAGTGGGTATTCCAGGCTTGGATCAGCTTTTTCAGATTTCAGCAAGCATTTAATGAATCAGCATGGTACTTGGAGCTCTATCTCCTCCTTCTCCCAGAAGGAAATTCTTACATATGGATACTTAAAAAAAAAAAAAAAAAAAAAAAAATTTTTAAAAAAAAAAAAAAAAAAAAAAAAGCTTTGCTAAAAATGAACAGTCTGTGTCTATACTGCTAATTCAAAGAAAGACAGGACATGCGTTTGAGCAGTGGCATGTAATCGTCCATTCTCTTTATTGCTAGTGTTTTCCCTCCCATCTCCCAGACTATGCCACAGGAGTTTTCCTAATAGGCAGGATGGGCAAGACAAAAGCCCATTTCAAGGCAGGGGGCAGAATTTATGGATAAATCTGCTGTGCAGCTTGGCACTATAGCAGAGAACAGATCTTGGACCATTTTGGTGAGGTGGCAATAGCTTCAAAATCCAAATTCCAGGCATTATATTGATTCATTTGCGACTCCTGGAAGTATCCTGTGGATGTTAGCAAGTAAAATACATTTTACCATCAGAAATATTTTCTCCATAATGCAAGATATTTGAACAGCTATTTATTTTTACATATCAGTTTTATATTTCTATCCAAGTTAATAGAATGTAATTTTCTTTATATCTGATGACAAAGGACATAGCAGCATAAGCTACAAGACATGTAGAATACTTAATGGAAAATATCTGCCTGCATTATAAACTGGTCCTGTCATCCACTGGGAGGTGAACTTCAAGAGCTAACTAAGGCTGGGGTAGTTTGTGAAATTACAATAATGTATGCTAAAGATGAGAAATCATAGGATAAATGGGATTTGGATATAGCCCCCCATAGAGAACAGAGATGCTTGAAAATTCCAATTTTGTGCTCAGACCCACATCTCATATTCATGGGAGACCCAGAGCCACCTTCTTTGTTCATGCTTACTTGGTGTTTGAAAAGCTGAGATGCTGAGAAAAGAGCTAGCTGTCCTACCAATAGCTAAGATGAATTGAACCTAAATCTGATTTTTTTTCTCTCTCAGCTGCTTAAATCAGTATCAGCTTGTACCAAAGATCCTTGGGAAAAAATTTCTTCTGACATAATCTGATGGCAGCTTATGCCAAGAAAGATTTTGGCCCTTTTTTGGGCACAGTGTAAGTTTCATTTCAGATTCAGTACAACTTTAAAAAATTAATCATCAGCACACATTAATGGAACTTACGTCTTACAATAAGCCTTGTGTAAGCAGAAGTAAAGAGGTTTCCTCCTATATATCTGGCAGAGTAAACCCCTGCATCCTGTGGTTGAACCTGAGGATAGGATACTTCCAGCTCCCCGGGCACTTCATGCCTGGGCACAGAGTGGATGAAGGAACCTGGGGAAGGAGCACACAGATACAACAGACAGAAATCATTCACCCTCTACAGACAGAAGTCAGCTTGCATTGGTTACTGAGGAAGGACAGCTGGGATGAGCTGAGCAGCAGAATCTATTTCTTAGTTATGAATTTGCTGACAGCTCTTTAGCTATACTGGTTTTTGATAACTGGAGAGGTGCAAGTAAAAAGGAAGCTAGATCTTGAGGAGATTTAGTAGATGAGTGGGACAAACTACTCTGAGTTCAGCATTGCTTTATGGGAATGTTGCTAAGACTCTAGTGGTTAAAAGTGTTCCTTTTGTTTCTTGGCCTTTCCTGAAGTGAGGGGTGACCATCTGTACGGAGTCTAGTGTGTCTGGAAGGAGTCAAATAGCAAATGCCAGTAAGGTCCTATTTAATCTGAATAACACAAAGATTTACTTAGCAGACCAAAGCAGGAAGAACACAGCACAGCTTTATCTTTTCTTCCCAGACTTAACATGTTTCTGGCTCTTCTATTTTTTTCACCAAGGGAGGTTATCGATGTTATTCTAGGTTTGCTGTAGTTGGTCATACAGGCTTGCTAAGTAAGGCAATAGCATTTGGTCTCCTCCCATCCCCCTGGATCACCAAGTAACAACATTTGAACATTGATTGCTATCAAAGAGAAGATGCATCCAGGGACCCCAAGGAGTCCTTCCACTCCAGTCTATTAGAGCAAGGCTGCTGCAGTCAGCTAATGCCAGGTCCAGCCAGCTATCATCAAAATATACATGCACACGCTCACACATACTGCACTAACAAAGCCAGCCACCAACAGACCCACACACACAGCAGAACTGTGCCTTCACAGGTACTGCATATGCACACGGGACTCACATACACATGAACAACCCAGACAGCCCAATCCTGTTCTCACTTGCCAGCTAGTCAGGCTTGCTGGCAGATCTCATACACTCACACACCAAAAAATGGGTCTTAGCTGGCCTGGACCCACAGTATCTCTAATACCTGTCTCTCAGACCTCTTATCCTTCTCACTGGTTAGCCTGGCTTGAAGTTCACTAGTGTCACACACACACATACACACACACGCACATACACACACACACGTGCGCATGTGTGCACACACAAATGAGTCCCTGCCATAACTGGCCTTAGGCACTTGGTCTCTCCGGTTGCTGGCCCCAGACATACAATACCCTTTGAACCCTGGAATGCGTTTCCAGTTACTAGGAGTCAAACCTGTTGTGCCTTCTAGCCTGGCCTGAAGGTCACTAGCAAATTATACATATGCATACCAGGTAGAGAACACATTTGTGTTGAAGAATAATTAGGAACAGAGTTTAATAAGATCAGACCAACTGTAGTGCAGAGCTTGGCCAGACCAGTGTACTGGTCTGCAGCTTGCAGGCATGCAAGTGGCACCTTTTACCTGCCTCCCGCCCCATTTTCCCACGCTTGTTCCATTCCCGTTCACTTTGAGCCCTCCCTTTCTCCTGTTTGGCTCTTCCTCTAAATATCCCATTATTTCACACATGCTCACAGTTCCCCTTACCCATGATAATCCTGCTCCCCACTTCTTATACTTTCAAAGCTCTGGCTGAAGCTGCTCAGAGTTTTGTGTTGTTCCCTCAGTGGCCCTCAGAAGCTGGAGAGCTCTGCCCTTTGATGTTTTTGCTGTCATATGCTACTTCTTAGGGCTTGTGTGTCTGTTTATGTATTACTTCTCTTGTTTCTTGTCTTAGTGTTTTATGCTGAATGACCATCAAGCAGATGATACTCGCACAAATCAAATGCCCTTACCTTCTACATGCCCTTACAGTTACACTGATAATGAAACAACTTTTTTCACTTTGATGAAAAAATTTAGAAGTTAAACTGTGTCAGGCATGACATTTACTGTTTGTGATCATACATACTATCATACCATCAATTTGACTATAGTCAAATTTCAGGCAGCCTAGAAATGTAAAACTTTGCTGAGAATCAAACAAAGCAGAAAAAAGGTCTTGGGTCAGTTTAGTCCATGACAACACGTAACAATTCTTCAAGAAAAAAGGGCCAAAGAAAAAGAGCAAAGAATGAAAGGCATTAGTTCTGAAACTGTGCGGCTTTTTTTGCATATCTTCTGAGTTACAAGCTGCAAACAAACTTGGCAGCAGAGCATTAAGAAAGCCTTATGCTCACAGTCTGTTAGAAAGGTTCAGTTTTTGTGGCTTGTTTTCCAAGACAGTACAAGTTATGCCAATCTCTTAAAGCAGTCTTGTTTAGCAGAAGAGTTTCATTCTCTAGACAGTCTTTGTGAGGGTCTGCAAGGTGGAAGTGGTACTTTAAATGACTGAAGTGAAAAACTGCAACAGTTAAATATAACAGGACAAGTATTTTCTCTTCTTTGCCAGTTCCTGTATCAGGAATCCTCAGTGATGCTATTTCAGCTACAATTTCAGTGGAGAACTTGACCTCCTGTCCAGAGGCATGGTTAATTTGAGTTTTTTTCCCAAATTTCTAGTTGGAATCACAGCTAAGGCAGCACCATGATGTAAGCACTCCTCTTCCAACATATCAGCTGGTTCTTGTATGAGAAAATGCTGACAGGAGATCACAAAATTTCCCTGGGAACCCTGACACAGAGCTGAACAGTGATTTACACGTGATTTAGGTGCCAAGTCAGATAGAAAAGTTGGTGTCACAAATTTCACAACCTAACTAATTTTTGTAGTTGAATGAAATGATTAGATTTTGTTGACAGTTTTGCCCTTCTAATAGCAGATTACTAGTGCTTATTTTCTTAGCCTGAAGGACATCACAGAAGCTAAATGGCCTCTAAAAGCCATTTGAAGAAGGAAAGGTATGCACTTGAAAAGCAGTAGAAATGCAAAGAAAGATGCAGTAACTAGGCCTTCACATTGGCACAGCAAAAAAAAGAAAAAGATGTTAAAATCAGCCGGGCAAATATATGAGGGGATATAGAAAGAAATAAAAAAGGAAAATGAGAAACAAAGCAAAGGTATAAACAAATGATTTGGCATTCTGGTGGAAGAGAAACAGGTCAGCTCAATGTATTGGATATAACAAATGGCTCCTTCAGAGAACATTAAATGCATGAGGAATTATGTCTGCTCCAGCTGCTCAGCATGGACTTCATCAGCAATGACTTTAAATCAGTTACATGGCACTTGGCTAAGACAATGATAGCAGGAAGAGAAAAGGCAGGACAGAAAGGTTAATTACCATTTTTGTAGATCACTGCATCTTCCTCTTTTGCTGCCATTCTGATGAAGGAAATATTCACGTGCTCTCCCTTATTTGCTGTAACAGTTAATGCCACCGGGTGGAATGAGGCTGAAAACAGAACAGGACAGAAGTATGGGATAAACAGCAGCAGTTATTGTCTTTATCTGGTCTCTGGGCCAAAAGCTGAGAAAGGACCCTGACGCAGATTTTGACATTTAAATTTCTTTAGAGCACACACTGACTCTTTATCACCAGCAACCTCAAATCTATGTTTTGGCAAAGACAGAGGACTCATCTATACCCTGAATCAATAGACTGCCCCTAGAACCTGGGGCATGAATTTTTAAAAAAAAATTTATTTTGGCTGAGTAACTGGAAACACTTCCTAGCTAGGAGCTTCAACTGGCTGTAAAACGCTTTCCCAACTTTCTTCATCCCTTCAGACATTTTTAAAGCAGACTGGATAAAGTACTGGAAAAGGTATTGTAGGGAACAAGCTATCATTAGCAGACAAATACCCTGAGTCGCTCAGTTCCTTTCTGTTTAAGCTTTATGATGCAGAACAGTCAAGATAGTTCAGGAGACCACGGTCATGCAGGGTCTGGGGGAGATGCAGTAAGATAGAGTAGGTCTGTGCTTGTGTTAGTTCACCATGCTCCTTATACATACTGAGAGTGTTGGCTTGCACTAAGAACAAAAGAAAAAAAACCATATTCACAGCCAGTGGTAGTTTTACCAAAATATTCTCATCTGAAAATGTGGCTTAATTAAAATAAAAATTCTGTGTGAGGAACTGTCTAGACCAGTGATATTTTTCAATTTTCCATTTGGGAAATTAAAATTAATTTTTCTGCTTAAACAGAGAAGTACTTTTATACATTTGTTTATAGTTTTTGGTTTAAGAAAAAGAAGGAAGTAGTAGATAGAGGGATTTTGACAAAACTTTTGCCTTTTTCTTATCATTACTAGTGGAAAAAAAGATCAGAAGATAATTGGGGAAGGGACAGAAAAATCTCAAGAAATAGTACTTTTTGAGACCAGTGAAACAATAATTTTAATTGCAACATTACTTTGAAACAAGTTATAAGTTAAGGATGCTTCCTTTCATTTACTTGAAAAATTCCAAGGGAAAGCTGTAAGGGTTTTTGAGGACAAATTCAGGTCTTCTGACCATTTTCAGCTCTGAGTTTTTATGCCATACTGTCACTGATATGTCATATGGCAAAAAAATTATGGAAACTGTTCTAAAATTAGGCCAAATTAACTTCTTATCTATTCAGCTCTTTATCTGAGTGAGAATGTTACACCTTTGTACTTTCCCTTTTAGGGCATCCAGGGGAGTGAGGCATTGATTTTCACCAGCACCTTTATTCTTTCTGTTTTTAAGGCTGTTCAGCTTTAGAGTTCCTCCTGTGCAAGTTCCTCTTGAGTAAGTCCATCCTGCATCTTGTTTTTATTCAGGTCCTGGGAGCCTGGTTCTGCTGCCACCTGCCTCTCCAGCAAAGTCAGTGGGACCTTTCTGACAGAAAGACCCATGTGAGCTTCAGCTGGAAGGAATCCTTGAAGAGCCTTTCATGCTCCTCATCAGCTCTGCATTTGCACAGGTTCCATTTCTATTAAAGTCACATTTATTTCACAGGGAATATTTTGCTTAAAGAACACATACACAAGCTAGTTCAAAATGTTAGACGACTTATTCATAAAAAATTGCCATTTATCTATAGTCATGCCTCTTTTTTTGGTTCATTTGTAGAAAACTGTCAATAAAGTATTCTTTGGTTCATACCAATGGTTGCAGAAAACAAATTTGGAGTTTGTGGCTGAAATTTGGTGGCAAAAAAATACACAGAGATAGAATCATAGAATCATAGAATCATTAAGGTTGGAAAAGACCCTTAAGATCATTGAGTCCAACCATTAACCTATCACTGCCAAGTCCACCACTAAACCACATCC